CTTGTTTCTTGCCATTTGCTTAAAAGATTTCATAAATGACAAAGTTGTAAACCAGAACTTAGATCTGAAAGGTTAATAGCATCGTTTAGTATCCCTGAATTTTATCTTTTGACTTCAATAAGTCAATTAACATTTAAAGAGCTGGTTGCACCAAAATACTGCAGATGCTCTGAGATACCTTCTGATGCAAAACAGCCCTAAATCTGTTTTAAAAGACTATGCTCTCTAATAAACCATCCTCCAAAACAGCAGGCACCCGTCCAAACTACCGGTTTGTGCAGTTCTAAAGAGAAGCACACACACCTGCACACCCCTAGAGGCACACAAATGTGGGTAACCTGCTGTGGGTGTGTATTCACAGCACAGTCACTCAGTAAAACCCCCCCTGGGGATGTGCTAACACCCCAACCACTTCATGTTCTACAAACACAAAAACATGTTAACTGACATAAAGGCTTTTCATTGCCTATATGTAGCAAAAAGTCTAAAGGAGAGTTGTAGCACATATGGTGGAAACATCAGAAATTCAGTGCTTACCCCTCAAACAAAAAGAAGCACTCAGCAACCAAATTCCCTCTTATGATATGCAGTAAGTATTTGACTATTCTTAAGGTATGTCATGCTTGTACTTCCATCTGAGGTGACTTCTCAAAACACAAAGATTCTAACTCCACATCTCCACACCTCTTTAAAGCTTTTCTACTGAATTAAAATAAAAGTTCTGTGGCTGCCTCCTCTGTGTAATTAATGGGGGTTACACTTAGTTGTTTCTATGGTATCTAGGACACTTTATCTGAAGAAAAACCAGCACAAGAGCTGCCTGTGACATTGCTGAGGACTGTACGTGGTTAGCATGTGTTTTCTTACCGGTATCTATGAACAAATATACCCTTAAAAATAGAGTTCATCATATTTTCGATTTCATCTTGGTTTTCTTGTAGCTGCAAAACACAAAACAAAAATAAATCAAGGGGAATTGCTTATTATAATTTCATACTCTACAATTCCTATTGGGAAACATCAGAAGAGCACTTAATTAAAGACATTAGTAGATAGACCGTTGTTTACTTTCCCAGCACATGCCTGTGTTGTGGGTATATCCACCCATCCACACACATAAATATATGCGATGCCTTAATGCAAAAATGTTAATATTCTCTGCAAACATCAATTAATTAAGTTTCAAATTAGTCCTTTGAAGTGGTCACCACCATTTTTTGCCTAATGAAATTTAGACAAGTAGAGAGAGTTCAGTGACGCCAGCAGTATGAGCTGCCAGAGAGTGAGGGCTGCAGAAATGGAGCTGGCTACAGATCAGGAATCTCCCCTCTGAAGAATCCAGTGTCCTGTCTAAGGAAAACACTGAAACATGTTCTCAGTCTGCAGAGTAGGTGTCAGGTGCTTTCACTTAAGCACTCACAAGGATGGAGCTTCCCAGAGCCAGGGCAGGGGCACTCAGCATGGCAGCACAGCTGACAGAGGCCTTGGAGCTCAAAAAACCCAAACCACATGCAAACAAAAAACAAACCCAAATAAAAAACGTGTTCGAAACATGTTCTTATCAATAAGAGTGTTTTTTTAAAAGACTTGGTATTTTCTGTGTAACTGGATTCTAAGTACTCTCACACTGCCAGCTTTTGTACCAAACTCAATCAGTATCATTGCATTACACCAAAATGCAGCTTTGTTAAATAAGATGATGCCAATTTTATACAATCAGCTTTTGGAGCAGAACAACTGCTGCACTCAGCTCCATCATCCTTCCACCAAGGTGTTTCTGACTGTCAAAGCACCACACCACAACACCTAGTAATGGAAATTTTTACACATCTTTAGTATGAAAAGCACAACACAGCCTTGCTAGTACAAAGGGCATAGATGCATAAAATAATAAAACCTGGATAATTATGGACACACATATTTAACATATAAAACATCTTAAATCCAGAGGCAGAATTATGACTATGTTTTTACTTTCTGCACAGCAGGAGTTCATCAACACTTTCGCCCAGGGGTTTATATTTTTCCAACCATGTTTATAAATATTTTTGCAGCATCTTCCAGGTAAGATCTAAAGTAGATTGACAACCTCAGTAAACAAAGTCTTCCAGTTTTCTAAAATGTAAGGAGGTGCTGTCTCCATTTTGCACATGGGATAACCAAGGCATTGAAGGCTCCTGACTGCCTGGTCAAACACGTGCTGAAGAAATTAGTTCCATAGCAGAAGGGCTTATGTCCAAAGGGAAAAGCTCTGGTTGCACACCAGCTCTGTTTGTACCAATGGGCCAGTACACAAAACAAGCAGTTTTAGATGCTGTTTTCTGCATCAGCTCAATGCAAAGATGGACAGACCAAATGCTTGTTCAAGAACACACAACCCAGAGGGGAGCGTGACCTTCCAGTCACTCTTCGGGTGGTGGAATTCCCAGGCTCCAAGCAGATCAGCAGCCCCAGGGACACGGGGCTAGGAACAACCTAGCACAGCCTGTGGGGTGAAATCAGAGTGGAAAGAACCAAGAAGCCTCCAACACCTTCTAAAAAACTGATGAGGCCGTGAAAGGGAAAGGGGAAGCTCCTGGAGAACTTTGGGTCTGAAGACACAACAGAAGGCAGGGAGGAGAGACTGAACTTTGTGAGCCACGAGAAGGGAAAGATCCTGAAGACAAGTGTACTTTGACATTCCTCTGAATAGGAAGTTGAGCAGCACCATGCAGGACTAAGAGGCACAGGTGAGGGGACAGCATGGGTGGCCTCTTCCCTCTTCTGCTTTTTTTACAGGGAATTCACAGCTCACTGTCAACACTGTGATTTAGGGGCTGTGGCAGTGACACAGGGACAAAGGAGCTGGGGCAGGGCTGGTGTACAAGGACAACCAGAGACTTGTAGGTCCTGGTGAGATCCCTTTTAGTTTTGTGTGCTCATATTTAAAAGACACAGTTCTCAAGTTTCTTAGTTTCAGTAATGAATTCACGATTCTTCAAAAAAGATGAACTTGCTCGAAAGCTTTAACTACTTTTAACACTTCCAGCTTTTCCAGATCAGGTACTTGAATCTGAGCACTTAACTTTAGGCAACTCTAGACAGCATTTGTGTCTTGGGATTTCTGCTCTTACCACTGCAAAAGTGATTTAACACCCCCCTTAAACCTAAGTCAAAATAGGGGAAACATTCTCTTCTTGGCTCTGCAAGCACTTTCAGAAGCTCAAGACAACATGTATGATAAAAAAAAATTTGAATTACCACTGGCAGCAACTGAAACTTCCTCTATTTTCTGGCAGATGGTGACATAAATCACCCAGTTTACTTGAAAACCTTCTTCATGAAACAAGAAGACCTTCCTGCACAGAAGATGACCTGAGAATGGAACACTTCAGATGGAGTGTTCCCTCTCTCCTACTTCAGATTAATTTGCCACACTTAGCTTGTGAACTGCACCTCTGCTACTTCCTTACAGCTACACAACCTTTGGATTAATTCTAATGAGCAGTGATAGAATGAACACACAGACAAAGCTCAGGTTTGCCAAACACTCATTCTTCTTGCAGGGTTTCCCAGCCCTGTGCCAGCCTGGGAGTCACTGTTTCTGAGTGTCCCCAGAGCATCTCCAGAGGACACTGAGACCTGTTGAAGGAAGAACTAGGGGACATCCACAGACACACAAGTTAATCAGTGTAATTAGTGATTTTGTCCTTCTCTGGAAATTCAAAGAAACAACCACCAAATCTGGAAGAGAAACTACGCTCCAGATATTTTGGCAAAGCAATTCTGCTTTTTAAAATGCTTTAAGGCTGACATTTAATTTAATATTTAATTTAGGATGTTTCCCTTGCAGGAGAGATTGTTACAGTTTTGTACCTTAATGTGTGGCTGTTAAGAATTATGAAAGCTAAATAAAATGGTGTTATGAATCATAGGGGTAAAATAAAATTACTTTAACTGTAATTATCCCCAGACAAAGACTAGAAATTCAAGCATTTCTGAGTCAAAGTTATACCTAAAAGAATCCAACGTGTGTGGAGACAAAGCACCCAGATACCCTTAATTTGCCAGAGTAAAACATTGGTGGAGAAAATCTATTCAAAATTAATGTATTAAAAATGATAAAATTAAATTAAGTCATATATACTTCCATTTTTCACTCTTATGACATTTACATGGCATCTTCAGGGATTATGGTTGTTTGGGTGTATGTGTATTCATTTTCTATTTTTTATCTTTAGACTTCTTTTAAGTACAAGTCTAAAACTGATTTTCCTGGGATGTAATACTTTATTCAGGGATGATTACAGCAACCATCTAATGATTTTGCTCACCTAATGCCAGACTGGTACTTACTAGAAGTGACTTTTATGTCTCCCTAGCTTCTTCTCCCTGAGAGCAGATGCTATAGCCCCACACCAGTGTTTCTTGAAAGAAGCTACAAGAAGTACTCATGAGACACTATGGAATAACTGCAGTGACCAAAGGGAGAAATGGGGGGGCTGCATGTGATCCTCCTTTCAAAGGCTTTTTGCATAAGCAAAACAGTTACTACTTACAACATGAAACTTAATTTTCTTCCTGCCTGGTCCTGTACACAAGCCTGAGGACAGAAATGACCCTGTGAGTGCAGAAGAGTCAACAAGCTCAAGTGAATGTGTTAATACAAGGTTTGCACATGTAGCCCAGTGAAATGCCTGCAGAGCTAACCTCTTGTTTTCCACTCTGGTACTCGAGTCTACAAAACCACCCTGAACTTGCTGTTGGAGGGAAGGCACATGAACCAAGAAAAAGAAATAAAATAATCTTTTCACTTGCCTCTTTTCTTTTCTGAAGCAGCAGCTCCAGTCTTTCATTAGCTCTTTTGCCAATCATTTTGTTTCTCTCAGCTTCGTACTGCCTCTGTGTATTGTCCTGATGAATGCTCAGGTTTAAGGCAACATTCACAAGAGCAGTCATAAGCTTCATAGCTGCAAAGGCAGAAGACAGAAGATGACTCTTTACCTGTAGTCAGAAAATATTGCCTCAGCAGATCCATACTCACAGAAAATAAGCAACTTGACCCTATCACGATGCCATCTGAAAGGCACTTCCCACCCAAGCCATCCTCAGGTCACCTGGCTGATCTCTACCCCATGGAGCTCCAGGCAATGTTCTCTGCCACCTTCTCCAGAAGAGCACACAAGTTCTGAGGGTGTGAGGTCAGTGAGCAAGCACATCCACCTGCAGGACCAGGGTACACCAGGAAGCCAGTTGCTGCAGTTACAGACATTTCTCTACTAAGAATCATTTAGTATCACTACAGATGCCTCCATACTAAGGGTGACACTTGATCAGTAGCAATGGAGGATTGTCCCATTCACAAGGGACTGCAGCACCATTTCTCTGAAAGTGACACTGCTCTGAAGTGTATAGTTGTATAAAAACATAATTAGAACTTCCTGTACACCTTTGTATGCATTTTCACACATGCTGGATGCAATATTTCCCGTGTCTACTTTTCTGTCATTACTTATGTTTACAAAACATGACTAAGGGTGTTTCCCATGTTCTGTGTGGTCACCTGGCACAACACATTTCACATTGCTGAAAAAACAGAAAAATAACATGACAAACCAGCACACCCTCTTTGGCAAAACATGCAGCATTGTCTCCAAGGCAGAAAAGCAGCTCTAGACATAGAGAAGTGAAGCTGTTCTTATTGTACCTTCACTTGCTACTGCTCAAAGCTGGTAACTCTAGAAGGACCCAAGTGTATTTCTTGCCTAAAGTTCCTTGCTATAGTGAATAATTTCTCATTCAAGCTGGTTAGCACAGAGAAAAACTGAAAACCAAGACCTCAAAAACACTCCTTCAAGAATAAATTAAATTTCAAAAGTAGATTTTCATAAACCTTATCAAGATTGAGCTCCATGGCATCCTGGTGACCTCTGGTCTGCAGGACAGCAACATAATGAAATGTGTAAAAACCAGCTTGAAGGACATCTGCAGAGCCAAAACAAAGCTCTCAAGCTTCTTCAAACAAATAAACAAAGGGCATATGTTATCACTGGCAATGCTGGAGATCTCTGGTGGCTCCTGTTCCTAATGTAGGTGCTGAATACACGTGTCCCTAATGCAAGAAGCCAGCAGTGGCTTAAACCATCAAAAACAGTTGGGATGAGCCTTGGTTTTAGCATTTGCTTCTCCTGGTTTGAAGCTTCTAGCTACACAGACCACTCCAAATAATGGCAACTTCCACACAGCACAGGTCTGGTGTAACATCTCTAACGTATGGGGCTGTTCCTTGTCTTGTCAGCCAAGTCTCTGTCACCTGAAGGTTTGGTTTTCAATGTTGAAATCAAACACCAGTCAAATCTGGAGTTGGTTTTTCAATATCATTGGAAATCTGCCTCTTACTTAGACAGCAAGAGAGACAATTTTAATCAAATTCTGATCAAGTTTGTTGGACACTGGATATTACACTTGAAATCTCAATAAAGTTGTAAGGGGCTGATTGTGGAAAGACTAACTAAACCAGGAACAAACATTGGCAGTAGAAACACTCAGATTATGACAAATGTCTCCTATAAAGGCTTCAAATATTTGGCATGATCTATGGACAGTCTAGGGAGAAGAACCTTCCTGCAAGATGTATTTCAGCACGAGATGAGCAGTTTGTCACCTGACATAAACTGCTTTAGACACCTATACCTAAGGTAGCCACCCTAGTGTTGCTTTGTCATTGGAGTAAAGCAGTTACTTCTAGGGAGCAGTTTGTCCACCTTACAGGAGAAATCTCATGGAGGCTCTGGAAAAGCTGATTTCCATCTAATGAGACAGCCAGAGCAAGGACACAGCTTGCTTGACACTTATTTAGAATAAATTTCTACTCTGAAATACAAAACTGTGAAGAAATTCTGTAGAACAAATGAACAACTAATAACAAGATACAAGACATAAGCATGGTACAGGATTCCCTGGAGGCCCCTGGGGATGACAGCCCTGAGATTAATCTGAAATTAAATGCCTCAGCACACCCCTTTCCAAACAAAAAATAAGTATATTTTAAGTATAGTTATACTATATAAGCACAGTTATACCATCTATGGTACTTGGATTTGATCAAGCTTTCCAGAGGTCTCAGTCCTGGGCCAATTCCACCCCAATCAGAATGAGGAGCAATTCTCCACGTGGCTAAATAGCAGCAAGTCCTTTGAAACAGCTCTTCTCTGGGCTGGCTCACTTACCAGCTAATGTACTTGTGTGCCTGAAAGCCCGGACCTGGGAATCTGACAAGCCAGTGAGGAGAGAGATGACTGTGTCCATCATGTACTCATCATAGATGATGCTGTACTGGCACTGCCGGATCAGCACCCCGATGAACTCGCAGAAGTTGGATCGGAACTTCTTCCACTGTGGGCCAGGCATGGTCAGTGGGTAATCACCACTGTCCTGGAGAACAAGAAAATGAAAATAGTATTCACAGTCTCCCCATTTATTTATTTATTTATTTTTATGTCGTAGCTGGCAAGGTCTAAGTTTTTAAGTTGAACACCATCGTTTTTGGAGAATAACAAATAAAACCAACACATTATTGTTCCATAAACAAAGAAGCCTGTTTTCAAAGCCATTATTTCAAAGACTTCACAGTAACTGTTCTAGGCATGCAGCATCAGCTATCTGAAGTCCAAAATATGCATCAAGACTCAATTCTTTTCCTCGTGTACTGAGGTTAGGAAGTGGGGGGAAAGGATGACAAAGGAATATTTCATAGAATCATAGAATGGTGAAGGTTGGGAGGGACTTTAAAGACATTGCTTATCCACTGTTTTCTTGCCCACTGCATTTTTATTTTAAATTAAAAGCATCTATCACTGGCCCAGGTTGCCCAGGGAAGCTGGGGCTGCCCCATCCCTGACAGTGTTGAAGGGCAGGTTGGATGGGGCTTGGAGCAACCTGGGCTGCTGGGAGGGGTCCCTGCCAGTGCAGGGGGGTTGGAACTGGATGATCTTTCAGGTCCTTCCAACCCAAACCAGTCTGTGATTCTATACTGTGATACATTTCATAACATTTAAAGACCTGTTTGTATACTGTACCTCATCAAATTCTTCTGTCATTTTCCTTATGATTTCTGCATTTTGCATGTTCCTGAACATTTCAATTCTGACAGTACCTGTAATGAAAGAACAACAGAAATGAATACAGCCCATGTTTGTTACATCAATATATAAATGTTTCTGCCACTGAACTTACAGCTCAGCCATCCACATCAAAGGGTATATAATGCAAAAGTAACAGCAACACATTGAACAAGACTTGGGTAAAAACATCTTCTGTCCTGTAAAGTGCTGCAATTTTGCATCTTTTGACTCTTAGAGCTGAGCAAGTGTGACACAGCAGCACCAGCACTGCAGGACTCACACCGCGCCTGCAGCCACCAAATGTTTTTTTTTTTATTTTGTGTGCAAAATAAAATTAAGACCATTTCCCAGTTCCACAGCCACTACCGGTACTTCTCAACTTTTAATGCTAGGTCACCTGCATGACAGGTTCACCAGCATCTCCATGCAGGGACACAGGAGTGGATTTCAAACCACCAGCACTGTAGGGGGGGAGCAAAAAGCATGTGCAGAGCTGAGCTGGCCCTTCTGCATCACCCAGTGCTGGGCCAGCAATTCCTCTCAAAACCAAAGGCTCAGGATGTGAGGCAGCTCAGGATCAAAGCAGCCACTGCAGCCATGTTACTGCTTCATCTGGATGATGCCCTTCTCCCTGTTACCTGTACAGCAAAGCTGACAGGATCAACTTTGCATTGTGAATTGAACAAGGCTACCAAAATGGAAAATATGACAACAGCAATAAAAGAACATTCCTGTGACTTCATCTTAAAATCAGTATCCATAACCACATTAATGCCTTTGCAACCAGACATTGTCTAAATAACCAAGCACATAACACAAGTCAACAGAGAGAACATTTTTTTTGCTAATGTACAATCTTCTTTATGCCACTTCACAATCTTCTTTTGTTAATGGAGGAAATGCAGGAAAATTAAGCAAACTGCAGAGTTTCAAAATCCATCTGAATATCATTAACATCACATAGAGTCTCTCTCCTTTTGCAAGAAGTTCAATTGGATTAATGAACCACTGCCTGCCTTCAAAAATTCAAACCATAATAGAAGCTTAACAGCTAAATGTATTAGTGTCTATACAAAGGATACATAAAGATAATTTAAGTATACTAAATATTATGGGAATGTTTTCATTCAGATTTTTTATTCATTGAAAAACATGCATTAGAAACACAAGCACTTCAAACCACGCAAGTACAGTTTCAGCACATCAATCCTCTCTATCTCAGCAGGGGTACTGTTTGACAACACATCTCAAATATTGATATCTTCCATTGCTTTTGCCTCTTCATGAAATAACATTTACTTGTTGTCTATTTCATACCTCGCAACACTGGAAACCTCAGTTCTTACAATGGCAATTTAAGTTTGTCCATGATAATTTCCATCTTATGAATGAAACAATCAGCAATATATTAATAAAAAACAAGGAACCTCGAAGAATTCTGCCATCTTTGGCACCACCTGTACATGCAGCTGCATTGTCACCTTTCCCCAGTACTGAGAGTTTGGTTTTGAAGAGGTGAAGCAGTTTCCCAGGCTGTCCCAGCTCTTCCTGGGAATCCCCCCATCCCCACTGCCACCCTCCTCTCACTGCCTGCTGCAATCCCTGCCTCTTCTCATGGGTAATATAACCCTTCTTGAAAAAGTAACCCATTGACCCTTGGCATTTTATTTTTTATAGCTCCAATTCTATTTATTCTTATCTATTTATGACTTCTGTGACTGACTCTGAATAGCTTCCATACAATACAGAGGCACGTTACCTTGTCAGAAGAAGCAAAAAAACCCCTATAACTAAAGTTCCTTGTTAATGCACTTCTCTCAGTTCAAATCTCCCTTCATTCTCTTGTGGTTCTCTGTCCTTCCTCCCTGAGCACCTGCAACGCAGTTACACTGTGGTCACTGTTACTTAGTGGTTCAGATATTGTTACTTCTTAAATGACCTCCTGCACAGTCCAATGAAGCTTAATTTCTCCTTGCAGGGTTTCTCTCCAGGAACCTGTCTCAGGACCTGACTGCTCACAGCCCTGCTGCTCAACCCAAGGCTTTTGCAGCTGCAGTCAGAGGGCTCCAGGAACACACCCTCCACATCACCATCAGGCTCCACGCTGTGACACAGCCCTGGGACCTGCTCCCTAAGCTGGCCAAGAGGAGCAGCTGCCAGTGTAGAACTAGAGAGCACAGGTGTGTCCCCTGCAGCATGAAAGGCTTTTCACCTCTCAGGGCTGCCCCTGGGAGCATCACCTGCCACTGGGGCACTTCAGGACCCGTGCCCGTCCCTGTGCAGAAGTGCTGTGAGCAAGGCTGCTGTGGATTCTACACACATTTTCCAAAGCAGGCAGGGGCCAGCTCTTTGGGAGTACCAGGCAGGGGCATGCAGAGGGTGAAACAAACATCTCCTGGGGGTGCCAGGGTGGACAACAGCTCCACAGTGCCAAGGCGGTGTCAGTGTGACGGACACTGATCCTGTCTTGTTCCTTCCTCCACTTTTCACAGCAAAGTTTGCTGCAAGTCTTGTCAAGCAAAATGAGCACTTCCACTTATCAGGCCATAGGTACCTGCTCTGGCTGCTTTTCCTACCACCACCTTTTTCCCACCCAACTCAACACAATCCTGTGTTTTTTTCTGGGAAGCTGATCTGTCCAGATGTTGGAAAGCTCTGCTCACAGCACATTTCATGGTGTCACCACAACACTGCTCAAATGGATAGTTTCTGTGAGTTTCTGTGGATAGTTTCTGTGACACACCGAACTCTCCCATTCTAAAGTCAATCCTTAAAATATAACAGATTTTCTCTACCATCCAAAAGGTGTGGAGTGAATTCCTATGGTCTCTGCCTTACGCAAGTTGCTACTAGTTTTCTAGTATTTCCTAAACCAAGTTTTACCTCTCTCATGAAGCTCTCACCCTGTATTTAGTGAACAGGGTTTAAACTGCCTTAGCCCATTAACAAATTGAGAAGCCTGTTCCACTTCAGGCCCAAGTTCTCAGTTCAAACTCATTCACACAGGTTGTATTTTAAAAAGTCTTCTTGCTGACATGTAAGTATATTTTCCTTAATGACAAAATTAGAGTTTAACTTTCAGCTACAGGCAGATTCAATTTGTCAATAATCATGTCACCCAACCTGGCTTTTAAAAGTGAAATGAAAAAACCCATACAGAGGACACAACACTATTTCAGCTGGAGAAGGACCAAAAGGGCCTATGCAAAACTGTATCACTGGGCAAAAAAAAAAAAAAAAAGCTGGGTACAAAAAAAGATCAAACACTTACAGGTGACAAAACATACCACAAACTCAGTGGCTTCAAACACTGTGTGTGAAAAGACAACACAGTTCCCAGTGAGGCCTGCACAAGAAAAGTAATGACAAAGATCTCCAACAGCTTTGTAAGAGGTGTGAGGTCTCAAGTTCAAGCAACATCCAACCTTTCATCCCAGGAGTTCCAAAGGGCACAGTGTGGGTGCAGGCTGCTCCATGGCTGCCTGTCCTCCCCTGGAGCAGAAGGTTCCAACCACTGCTGGAAATGAGGCAACCCCATGGTACCCAATGCTACCTCCAAGGACCACCTGCAGATGGCAATTCTGGTACTTCTGGAGGACAGGGAAGCATCTGTGACAGCAGCAGGACCACTGCATGGAGGTACTCCAGCTGTAATAGCCCATAGCCAATTAAACACTGCTAATGAAAACAAATTACTCACCAGTAAATGGACTCTTGAAATCTGAACTACTGACAGCTGGTCATAAATTATAACCTATGTGTTCCTCTAACTATACTGTACACTTAAGTTTCAATCTCTGGTATCTTTATTCACAGAAGCTACACAGCTGATTTCATCCTTTCCCCTTTGGACCAACCTGCCCAAACTGCAAAAGGTGCAAGAAAAGTGGTGGGAAAATTGCAGCTCGTAACTAAGCCAATGGACATAAAAGAAGCCCAGAGCCTCCTGCCAAAGGATTAACTGTGGGACCTCAAATCCGTGGTGACTGATCAGTATCTCTCAGCCAGAAGGAAGACTGATAAAAGCATCAAGATGAAGACATGGGAAGGCTCGCCCTGGAACCCACCACATGACAAGGATAATGTGCTTCTCTGCATTAGCTGCAAGTGGACAGCTGGGACCAGGGCACTGGGCAGTAATCTCAGCTGCTGGAATTGCCAAGAGAGGGCAAGTTTCATAAAGACCTTGTGAGGATGGATGATAATTATAAAATGGCTGGATGAGTAATAATTCTTTCCCTTTGTATCATTCAATGCATTTTCTATACCTCTCTTCAACCACCATTTAGACCATAAGAAATAATCCACTTACAAGGTCTGTAAGTGCAGTTTTTAATTGTCTCCAAACTGTTAGTGACAAATCACCACATGAAAGATGATAAAAAAGACTGAAGCCAAACCATGAAGAGAGCATCATTTCACCCTGCTCCATCTGGGTCATGGCACACTTCTGTAACATGCCATTTACTGTTCCCAGAAGAGAGCTGCATGAAACTAACCAGAAATTCCTCACACCTGTGTTTATTTTCTGTGTTTTGCTCATAACTGCCTAAGAACCCTGAAGCAGGTCTCACCTCACTGCAATCAATAGGCCTCAACTAAATGGAAGCAGTACTGGGACAGCTGAAGCACATCCAAACAGATGCTGAGACTCCTAAATCCCATCAGGGCTCCAAACTTTTTATTGGTTTCTGTGCTTGAAAACTGGAACACTTTACTGAAACCAGAAGTCAGGATCCTAGACAGAAGTTAGCCTAAAGACTCAGCTGAGTTTCAGCTTTTGAGGCAGGAATAGAAGATCCTCCCCTTGAGTTACTCCCCAGTTTTTCCTGTTGCATGGACTCTAGGCTGCCCAGCTCCTGCCACCAGTGAAGCTGTATTCAACCCCTGCAAAAAAGACACAGCCCTAATTCATCCTCAGAGCAGCTTTAGAGCTGAGCTCCTACTGAATGAATCAGCAAGAATCCCAGTGGGAAGGGAAAAAAAAAAGACAGACTCATGCAATTGAAACCTCATCAAACAGAACCACAGG